AGGTTATGCCAAAAAATCTGGAGGACAACTATGTGGCCATCTGACTGGAAAAGATTTGTATTTATTCCCAATCCAATAAAGAAGGTGACCCAACAGAGTGTGGAAATTATCAAATGATATCACTAATATCACAAACAAGCAAGATCCTGCTGAAGATTATCCAGAGAAGTGCCAGATGTGCAGGCTGAGTTTAGAAGAGGGAGTGGCTTTAGGGACATTATAGTCAATATTAGATGGATCTTGGCTGAACCAGAGAGTACCAGAGGAATGCCTATCTATGTTTCATTGAGCATGCAAAGGCAACTGACGGTGTGGATCACCTTGAGAGGGATGGGAATCCCAGAACACTTGATTGTACTCATGCAAAACCTATACGTGGACCAGTAGGCAGTAATCAGAACAGAGCAGGGAGATACTGCATGATTCAGGATCAGGAAAGATGTGTCAGGGATGCCTCCTATCTCCATACCTTTTCAATTTATATGTAGAACAGATCATTCAGGAGGCTGGACTTTATGAAAAGGAAAGTGGCATCAGGATTGGAGGAAGATGCATCAACAACCTGCATTATGCAGATGACAGAACTTTGTTTGCTGGAACTGAAGAGGACATTAGGTATTTGCTGCAGAGGGTCAAGGCCTGTAGCCTTCAATATGGATTGAAACTTAACATCAAGAAAACAAAGATTCTCACCACTGGGCCAATTGTCAGCTTCATGATGGATGGAGAAGAGATTGAGATTGTTGATAACTTCAGTTTGCTTGATTCCACAATTAACACTCTTGGCAACAGCAGTCAGGAAATCAAAAGATGAATTGTATTGGGAAACTCTACTGTCAGGGAACTCTCTAGAGTACTGAGAAACAATGATGTCAGTCTGGAGACTAAGGTGCACCTGATCCAGGTCATGGTCTTCTTAATTATTTGCTGTTCATCTGAGAGCTGGACAATAACTAAGGATGATAGAAGCAGTATCAATGCCTTTGAGTTGTGGTGCTGGAGAAGACTATTGAACATACTGTGGACTGCAAGGAGAACAAACAGGTCTGTCCTGGAGAGGTTGAAACCAGGCTGCTCCCTGGAGGCAAGGACTTTGAACCTCTCTCTCACATACTTTGGGCACATGGCCAGGTGGGACTAGTCCTTGGAGAGGGATATCTTTCTTGGAAGGTCAGAGGGACAACATAGGAGAGAAAATCCAGGATGAGATGGATTGACTCAGTGGCTGGATAAATGGGATTAGATCTGTCAGAGATGATGAGATTTGCTCAGGATAGGGCAGGTTTCAGACCTAATTAACGTACATTGGGTCATATGAGTCTCTATGACTCCATGGTACATAACAACACCATGGCAGTCTCTGGAAGGACGTGGGGGATGACAGAAATGATTTCAGGGCTGTTACTATGACTTTTTGTGCCCATGGACTATCTTGCTTAAAATGTGCCTTTCCTCAGTCAAAATTTTTCTCTCTCTTTGGCTTCCTTAACTTTTTATTGAGATGTGGGTAGAGGTTTACAGAGCAAATTTGTTTTCCATTCAGCAAGTCAGCATTTTATTTTGTGACACTGACTACAATCCCCACATGGTAACAGCATTGTCCGTACTTCCTCCCTGGGGGTCTCTTTTCCATTAATCCTCTTTCCCTGTCCCTTCCTGCCTTCTGAGCAAATGTAGTCACTTTGTTCTTGTATCATTGGTTCCAAAGATGGAGCACTTCCCTGGTTACTGTTTACCTTTTTTGTTGTTTTTATGCGCCATTGACTTGCCTGTTCCTCATAGTGACCTTATGTACAACAGCCATGAACTCTGCTCTATCTTGAACCAATTTCGTTGTCTCTGACACACCTACCCACATTATCCTAGTCACTAAGTCAATCTATCTCATCTGGGGTCTTCCTCTCTTGCACTGTCCCTCCACCCTTCTAAAGATCATGTCCCTCTCCAAGGACTGGTCCCTCTTTGCAACATGTCCAAAGTATGTCAGACAAAGCCTCAGAATCCTTGCCCCGAAGGAGCAGCCTGGCACCTTACAGGCTGGTCTTCGGCTGAGAGTTGAGTCATGGGGATGATTTTGGTTTCAGGCCCGAAGGGTGTTAGGGCCATAGTTTTGAGGGATTCTACCAGCCTTTATTTGACATCCTCCCACAGCTCATCTGGTCTTTGCTCATTAGTGTTCAAGTCCTCAAGCCTGTTCCTGAGATGATTCTGAAATTCAGGTGGGATGAAATCAAAG